TTCTATGAGAAGAAAAACAATAGTTAATGGCAGCAAAAACAGAATGTAGAAACAGAGTGAGGAAATTAGTCCGTATGTAATAAATAAATAAATAAAGTGGCATGTGTTGTCATCATTGTATGTTCCCATACAAAGACTAAACTGGCTCTCTGCATTTAACCCATCGCACCTGGGATACACCCAGGTGGAACAGTAGGCAGCTATGTAAGCGCCCGGGGAGCAATTTGGGATTGGGTGTCCTTCTCAGACACCACGAGATGTGCAATGACCAGGGATCGAACCCAGGACCTCCAGAAGTCAAAGCCTAAATCAGTAGGAATAGTTCAGGAAACCCAAACCACCCCTAACTATAGGATTTATCAAACATTAAGTCTTGAAGCCATTTTTAAATGTAAACAATGGGTCAGCCTTGCAGACAGAAAGCTCTGCCTCCCATTCCACTTTTAGAAACTCTAGGAACCACAAGTAAACCTGCAGTATGAGAATGAAGTGCTCTGTTTGGACAATATGAAACAATAAAATATTAAATATAAGATGAAACTACGTTGTTGAGAGCTTTGTATGTTAAAATTAATTATTCTAAATTTGACAAGGAGCTAATGGAGAGAAGCTAAAACTGGAGAAATGTCATTGTCTAACTCTCATCCAAACTCTGGCAGCAATTTTGATCAATCAAAGACTTTAGAGTTTTTTGGACACTCTGATAACAAAGCATTACAATAGTTCAGCCTAGAATAAATACATGGACCAGGTTTTTCATTGTTTTGCCACAAGAATTTTAAAGATATTGTGCAGGTGGAAGAAAGCAGTCTTGGTAACATTTTAATGTGAAGGTTTGTGAACGTTGTGAGCTCCAAAACAATATGTTGTCAGACAAACTCAAACGATGATGTTTTGTAAATTGCTTTGGATTATATCATAGATTATTATTAAAGAGTGAAAAAAGAAATCTTCATGCACATTTTTAACCAGTCTCAGGAAATTAAATTGAATTTGCCATAAACCTTTCGATTAAATGACATTTTCTCTCATATAATGAAGTTTGCAGACAACAGCAATGAAAGCAGCAAAGTAAAGGCCAATCTTGCATCTTGCATTGGTCCAACATCTTAATTAAACACTAAATGGTGACATTTATTAATTCATACTTCACAGTGTTGACAACAAACAAATACTTTGCTGGAAAGTCCTTTTAGCTCTAACATTTAACTCAACCTCAGGCACCTTCCTAAAAATGAAAAGGGCTGTCATGCATAAATATGAACACATCCAAACACACACTTAATGGAAACAAACCCGCATGGACACACACAGACACACAAGCGCAGGACTGTAGCAAAACAGAGTGAGCCCCTGCTGTTAACACCATCTTGTGTTTGACACTGGCTTTATCCATATGCTAATTCACCTCCATTTCACCACCACTGTAATGGATGGGGTGAGACCAGCAATTAGAGACTGAAGAGGGAAAATGGGCTGCAAGGCAAAAAATAATAATTCTGTCTTATCTGGCCTGTGCAGAGGTATAGTTACTCCTTTTAAGCAAGACGGTACACCTGTGTTTTAATCATAAATAAAACATTTAACCTATATGTCAGATAAATGACAATAAATGTATTTAAAGTAATAAAACCTAAATGATAAAGGCACCATTTTTGTTTTGTCGATGGTTTGAAAACAGGATACTTTAGATCAAATGAATATATCACTGCACACCCTCGTTACCCTGTTGGGTTGTGTGTTTGTGGACCCAGTGAGTGAGGAGGGCCGTGCGTCTGACGCTGCTTTAATTGTTGTGGCATCGTGCCAAACGAAGGATGGATGAGACTCTGTCTGTCTCTGAGTGGACGGCAGCCGTCTGCCGGGGCCACAGGCTGCTCTCAGAGCTGTGAGTTTGCCCTCATGTGTGTATTCACACTTTTGTCTTTGCTCTGTTGTGTTCTCCTGTGTGTCTTTGTGAGCTCGTAAAGTCAGACTGTCACTGTCTGTTTGTGCGCTTTGTTGTTTTCTTCAAGGATTTAAAGTTGTCATTATCTCTCGCCACTTTAAAAGGCGGGTGGGTGATTGTGTAGCTGCCTCTGTTTGTGTGTTCATTTGTCTTGCATTGGGCGGACAATTAAACAACTTTGAGAGTCCACCAGGTTAATTAACTTCAGCAAACCAAACAACACCTATAATTCAGTCAGTTTTATGTAATAGTTGAGAGTCGTCTCCAACACATACTTTAACACTAACAGATTCTAGATGTTTTTTACTATCTGTCTGTGTAGGTTATTATTTTGGCTAAGTATGCAAAGATCTTAGATATTGTCACTGCCATCGGTTTTGCCTGGTACTAAATAAGATGAAGCTTCTGAGCATCTGAGAAATGTGCTTTGAATGTAACTATTATATACAGTACCGTATTTTCCGCCGTACACGTTGATTCGCCCTATAAGTCGCATCAGTCCATATTTGTCTAATAAAGTGGAAAAATCCATAAAAATGTCACTTCGCCATATACGTTGCATCTATTATGCGTCACCGCTGACGCGTCGCGTTTGTTACGCGTCACCGCTGACAACCCGGAAATGTGGGCCGAACCTGGAAATGTGGACCGGTGTTGTGCCAAAAACCGATGGGCTGCCAAATGGCATCCGAGGGAGCGTGCACGGGAGGACTTTAACATGAATTTAACAAGATTAACACTTAAAAACAATTATTTGTTTGCTCAAAATTATAGTAAAGGTGTGTCTCAGTCTAATGTTTGCTTAATAAATGCACTTTGATGGTCAGATCAGATGCATTTCAAAAACCGAAATGTGGAAGTAAGTGCATGCACGTGACGAGTCTCTGTGCAAATTTACCAAGATAAACGCATAAAAACAATTATTTGTTTGCTCAGCTTTATAGTAAATGTGTGTCTCAGTCTAATGTTTGCTTAATAAATGCACTTTAATGGTCAAATCAGATGTATTTCAAAAATAGTTTTGCTGCCTTAGTTCTCTGTGAACGCACAGAGGAAGAAAAAAGGAGGAGGAACGCGACTCGTTTCTCCTAAATTTAACAAGAAAAGCACCTAAACAATTATTTGTTTGCTCGATATTATAGCAAAGGTGTGTCTCAGTCTAACATTTGCTTGATAAATGCACTTTAATGGTCAAATTAGTTGCATTTCACCGGGGTGCTGCAGCTGGTTTGACAGTTCCAAGCAGCGAGCAGAACGAAGGTGGGTGCTATGGCAGGCTGATTGAGTCATTAATAGCTGATGAAGATTCTCAGTCATCCAGGACATGGTAAATTCAAAAAAGTTCAAGAAAATATAAAGTAAAGTATAATAAAAAGTAAAGCATAATAAATGTGTGATGTCATCAAAAAATGCAACAACGGCCATTTAAAAAAATTTCCTTCTTGTATTTTTTGCAGGTTTTAATTAGTTTTGCAAGTATATATATATATATATATATATATATATATATATATATATATATCCTGACACAAAATAAAACTTTCAGAGAGAACACCTTTAGGATTACAGCTTTATGACCTACCTGTTGTTTGCATCCTCTTCAGAGTTCGTTTTAATCGATTATTGAGGAAAATGTCTTGAAGTTTCACTCATGAGATAATTCCATATTTAGTGGACGGTTGGCACCAACCACTCCCTCACCATCTCCTTGATGTGGTCTTTTGTCAGTTTGCAGCCATTGGTCCATAAAGGGTCACATTCAGTAAATTTGACAAATTTGCCTTGAGGGGTGACTAACTTATTGGCTTAATTGTGATTCTACAATACATAAACTATGTTCACTGGCTGTCGTTGCGTGTTTTATCCATATTCACCAGGTTTCTGACGTCTTTTGGACCCATTCAGCAGGTTTTGTTCTAGAGGATAAGAAGTTCCTATTGACTGTTAAGTTTTACATTTTCAGTCATTTTTCATTCAACAGTTCAGTTGCTCCACATCTGTCTACCAGGCAGTTCTTGACTTTTCTTTGTCAGTTTTTGTCTTTCTCCTTTCTTTTGGTCTATTTAAAATTTAAATAGTGAATGTTTAGGATTTTTTAACATTATCATCACTTTAATAGATATCAACTAAAAACGAACACAATGCAAACATTCAGCTTTCTGCAGTGTGAAGTTTTGATATTTGAAATAGAAACAAGACCAGAATACTTACAGTAGGTGACAAGTAACAGCGTTACTTCATCTATTCAAGGATTCAAAGTGTTTACTGGCATGTGCACAACTGGAAACATGTTTGCCTGGGCAATGAAATTCTTAGTTTACTGTCAATAAATGCCAAACAGAAAAAGAAAGAAAATATTGACCAACAATTTAAAATGTGCAAAATATAAAACCAATAAGGTACAACTGTGCAAAGTGACAGAAACATTCAGTTCTTTGAGTCTGAAGGAGTTCTTGAATCAGGAGGTCCTGCATGTCACTCTTCTGTGAAGATCGAATCATGTTTTGTCTGTGAAGAGTTCCTATATCTTAAAATAAATATAAAAACTTTTTAAAATGTGTAAAAAAAAAATGGGTTTGCCCTTTATATACTGCAGTTTGTAAATAAAATATGTGCACCTTTAGTAAGAAATTAAAAAATTGCTCGAGTCTGAAAGTACCTTTCATGAACACTACATCACAAGTACATTTTAATATACTGAATATGGTTATTAAATGTTATTTATTATTCCAAAAATGCCCATCAGAAAGTATAAAACATGTTAGGAACATTTTTCATCCAACCTTTATTTAGACAGGTTAATCCCATTGAGCCTCGAGGACTCATTTACAAGAGAGACCTGAACATAGTAAAAGTGTCTGCATGGCTGTTGCAGTTCATTTTTACACCATTGCTTCAGGCGTAGTCCTGTGTGTTGCATCATCTTCCTGGAGGATCCTTGAGAACAAAGATGTTCTCCTTAATTTTGTTTTACTCACCAGAGAAAAGCCCACAGGTGTTAATGTGCACGGAGCTCTGTGGAGTCTAACCTCCCTTGTTTCTGTGTTCACAGCTCCTGGGCTTCGTGTACGCCTGCTACGTTGTCAGTGCTATCACCGAGGAGGAGGACAGCTGTAAGTGACATCACACACACTGGTCCACCCTCAGACATGAAACACGTCTGAGTTAAGAGTAAAGAGCTACATCTTCCTTTGACTCCCATTTTTCCTGTCTCCCACCCCCACCCCACCACCTTCACCACTCACTGCTTCAGCGTCCCTCTTTCCTCCTCCCCCACACCAGCTGAGGCCTCATTCCTTTTCTCCTTATTACCAAAGCATCCATTTGTTCCTTCCCAACACCTCCTTCAGCTCATTCTATTATTTATTATTTTTTCTCCTTTGTGCACACTTGTCGCCTCATTTTCCTTCTCGTGTTTGGTGTGATCCTTACGGTGGCTGCCTGTTATTTGCCTTCATTCATGTTCACCGGCTTTTGGGTTTCTCACTCTTCATGCCCCTTGTTGTTGCTGCAGCTGTAGAGTGGGTGTATTTACACCAGGCCTGCACCTCCAGCTCCACTCCTCATCACCGGTTCTCTTTTGGATCTTATCAGACATTCGAAACCTTTCTCCTAACTACTTCCTGTTCATTAAAAGCTCTGTCCGCACATTGGATTTGGCTCCACGTCATGTTTTTTGTAACGAAAATAAAATGAGTGAGTGGACCTAACCCCCCCCCTCATTCAGAGAGTGGGACTGGGAGCCACAACTCAAGATAAAGTCATGAGAAATCAGGGATGGACACTTGTGATAAATGACCAGGCTGCTGTGACCTCGAAGGTCAGGGGTCACGTTTGAGGTTAGCCAATCAGAGGACAGGAAACATTTAATCTAGAACCAGAGACGGTCTTAAATCTTGTGCTGCAGTGAGCCTCCAGGTTGCATTACTGTGCAGGACAACCCTCACACACACTTTAACTAATGAGAATGAGGCTTTGGTAATTAAATGAAGACTTGACGGCACTTTGTGAGGATTAGTTACAGGTGTACGCATTCAGCTGCCCTGCAGAATGTGTTCATATCAGGAAGACGTTAGTGCCTGTGACATGTGATCTCTGGTTTTATTTAAGGGTTCTGTCCACTCTGCATGTTTTAATGTAGCCTGTTGACTTTGCCTGTCAAATAACTTTCCTATTATCACTTATCCACAGATTCTGATTAATTTAACTTTACCTGAATCTAAATTGCAGTAACTACTAAATATATTTTTATTATCATAATATAACTTGGCCTAGCGGTAAGGGAGGTATAGTCTTCTAATTGAACACCAGTATTCTGATGAAGCGTCCTTGATCATGATACTGAACCCCCGCTGCCCCGATGTGCTTATTGTTGTGTGAGTGGAATAATTTAGTTCTACAGATTGTGTGTAAAATATACAGTAGACAAAACAGTGTGTGAATGTGTGTGCGTGTAGGAAAAGTGTGGACCAGTTACGGTTTTATTTTGATCTGAACTGATTTGGAAATGTTGCCCCCAACATTACTTTTGTAGTGAATTGGCCCCACATACAGAACATGAAGTCAACATGTTTTCAAAGTCAAACCATGAACAATGCATTACGTCCATCTTACAGCAGTATTTTAGTCATTTGGGTGAGCTTGGATGTGTGTTCTGTGAACCAATATAGAAATACACACTCTTCCTAGGAGGTCACATACCAGAGACTTCCAGGCTGTGAGTGGTCAGCACCGCCACCCAGCTGCCCCACCCTGCAGCTCTGGAGACCATGTAATCACCAGTCATGCTTAAATAATCCCTGGTAGGCAACGCCGTTTCAGCCGAAGTAAAAAAAAAAATACACTTTTTGTCTCAATAACTTGTGACCCATGAGCTCCATTCAGTCCCTGTGAGCACCACCGGCTTGGTGTTTGAAGAAACTGCTTATCGTCCATCCTGGGATAAAAATAGCAACAACAAAAAGCTCAAAGTGAAACCAGAACATGGTGTGAGTTTTATTGGTTTTAATTATCCTGTAGTTTCTCCTCTGATCCTGGCTGAGCCAAAGTGAAAAGCTGGCAACGCTGCTTCCCAGTGCCAGCTCTTTGTTATTGTAATCAGCCCTTTGCTTGCACATGAATATTTGCTCATGCAGACACAGGTGCACACTCACACACACACACAGAACAAGAACGACCAGCTAAGGCACTTTTCTGCTCTCATTTTCTCCTCTCATTTGATGTGCACATTAAAGCAGATCTCTGCGCCGAGCTGCCTGACTGCCTCAGCGTCTCTCCATCTCCTCCACACCTCTCCCTCGTTTGCGTCACTTTCACTTCCAGACTTCTTCACAGGACATGAGAACAAGCAATGTTCTTGAGCTAAAATCCAATTCTAGCCTGGCTAAAGAAACCAGTCTCCCTCTCTCCGACTGTTTCCCCCGTCTCTGGTTTCAGAGCGTTAACGAGGCGTGCTTGTAAAAAGTTAGCGGCCTCTGGTCACTTGTTATGTCAGCCTCATTAACCACCTCACTCGTCAATAAATCCCACAGCTGACTGCAGCTCAGTAAGAGAGGAAAGGTAGAAAGAAGCCTCAAGAGGCGCAGAAAACTGGATGGAGTGAGGGGGAAATGAAATGAGGAATAGACGAGGTGAGCGCAGGGAGGTGTTTATCAGGTGCAAGTTGGGAGGAAAAAAAGGAGAAAGAGGCATTATTCAAGAAAACACAAGACAAGATGAGCAAGTTGTGAATAAGGAGATAAAACGAGGATTCTTCTCACGCTGTTCACTCTCCAGGGAGAAGACCGAGTTATATTTGAGTGCTCAGGCTGGTGTAAAAAAAAAAAAAACTGGATGAAGCGCACACACTCTCCAAGAACACACAGTGCAATAACAAGCATCATAAACCATCAGCTCAGGGTTTGACGAGGCTTTCAGGCTTTATTACTGATACTCTGTGCGTGTGATGCTTCTTTTAACGCAACTCTCTCTTCTTCTGTCACGTTGGAAGTGAGTGTATCTGCTCTCACTCAGACCTGGCTCTGAGCTGCACGCATTTGTTTGGCTGACTCTGACGGGCTGACTGGTTCGGCTGTGTTTTTGCATGTGTGAATCTGTTACACAGTTATCAGCAGTGAGCAGACACACCGGCAGAGTGAGTGGTGGAGAAAATCCTCTTTGCAAAGTAGGTCATGGAGTTAGCTGTCTAGCTCTGGGATAAGCTCACTTCAGCTTGTCTTCTAATGACGCTGCCGCGCTGAGTCACGAACAGCAGAAAATCACCTGGATGGATGGATGGATGTAAAATGCATTAAAAAAGAGCTTTTTCCCCATATGCCATCCCATGTTTTTTCTATATTAATATTTATGTGAAAATTTTAGTTTTTCATCATCAGAGAGGCACATTTGTTAATTCAACAAGTTGATTTATGAAGCCACCCAAACTTAACGGTGTCTAACGATTTTTTTTTTTTAAGAATCTTGAATATTAAAAGAAAAATGCACATAAATCAGATCCTTCCACGTGTCTGTCTTCATCCTGCACAAACTCATTTGGTTTTTTTACACCATTTTGTTTCATCGTAATAGGAAAACATATTTGTGTTATACTGTAAGTGGGAGTGGTGGTGCAGAGGTTAGAGAAGACGGGCCTACTATCTGAAGGTCGCTGGTTTGATTCCCCAGACCGACAACATCGCCTGGCTCCACCCTCATTTGCCCCATTCTGGGCCCTTGAGCAAGGCCCTTAACCCCCACCATCTGCTCCCAAACAGGTGTCTCTTGAAAATGAGTTTTTGTGATTCAATGAGACTACCTGTATAAATAAAGGTTAAATCAAAAAATAAAATAAATATCTAATCCCTTGAAGTCGTGACACTGCTCATGAGCCGGTGTCATCAGAAATCTGATTCTGAAGCAGCACAGCTGAATTCAGCCATATGAAATATTCAGGACCACAACACGTTTATTATTCTGACAGGTTTGTTTTGTTTACATCAATAATATTCTATGAAGTTTGAACAAATATGAACAATTGCAACAATGCATGAAGCAGTAAATCCTTACACTGCAGAAACTGAAACAGAAGGAACTGGACTTGTTTTTTAGTTATTCAAGGTGTTTTGCTTCATATCCAAGGGGGGGGGGGGAAGAGTTTCAAGCTAATAAAATGTTGAGTTAATCTTCAGAGTTCATGCTGAATAATCCAAGTAAAAAAATCCAACCAAGTTAAGTCAGGTCCTCTGGATGGTTTCTTTGTGTTGAAACGTTTTGTCCTGTTTTGAAGCACGTTGGCCATGGCTGCCTCAGAGGAGTTGACAGGGGAGAGGGGGGGTTCTAGAAACCATCTTATCACATCAAACTGGTTGGCCCACTATGTGAGTGTGCTGCTTGTGGGACTATTTGTTGTGGCTCCTCAGACTGATGAAGTCCTTTGGATGAAGGATGAATCATTTCAACAAAAAGAACCCCCACCCCCAGAGGACCTGACTGAACTTTGTTGGATCTTAGAAGTAGGTGAACTCTCTGGCAAATCACCGTTATGTCCTTCCCTTCCCAGGATCATTAGAGTTGTGATTTACTTTGATTACATACAAGTAATTTACAATTGTAATAAATAAATAACATTAGGAATAAACATAAACAATAATAATATTGGAAGTTGGCTTTAGCTCGCTTTATTCTTATCACTCTTATGGTTCTCAGGTTAAAGATCTTGAGTTCACAGAATCTTACTTTGAGTCTAACAGGATTTATGTATTCGTATTCACATTATTTACTGATCAAGATCCTTGTCAGTAACTGGACAGCAGGCAGATGTTTCCAGATGTGAGGTCCAAGCTCTGCTGCAGGAGCACAACTAAACCAGTGGTGGTGGGCCAAAGACACAGAACATAAAAAAAAAGAAGCAGCTGGTGTGGACTGATGTGAAATATTAGTCTCTTTCTGTTTTATTGCTGAGTTGATATAAAAGGCTGCGAGGATAAGTGACTGCAGGCAGCGGTGAAGCACGATGGAGATCCGTGTCAGGTTTAGGAGTGCATTTATGCAAATTGAGCTGGAAAAGTATAGATCAGCAGCGGTTTTAGTGCTGAGGAGCGCGGTGTTATCCATCACACAGCGAAGGAGGAAAACGTCTGGTTGCACACAGTCAGGCAGCTTCGTTCATCCACAAGAAGAAGCCGTCAACAAAGTTTTACTCAGAACTTCACAATTAACTGAAACACTCGCAGTTAACGCACTTCAAGTCTGGAAATATGAGTAACTTTATTAAACTCTCAGTTAAACTCAACCAAAGTTTGTATTTCTCAATTAATCTAAAGACGTCCGGAGCCTGTCTAACAGTCAGGCTGCTGTCTGTCTCTGTCCTACCTGTCGCTTGCTTTTCTTTCATCCATGCTTTTTTCCACACAAACATCATCCCCCCCCCCCCCCCCCCCGATCTTGTTGCCTGTGTTTTATTTCAGCCTCAGCTCACCAACTTCACACACACACGTATGCGCACATGGCAGTAGCTGCAGTGTACAGTGCAGTCGGATTTAGTTGAAGTCTCTGATTTCAACCAGTTTCTTCTTGAACTGAAACATAATCATCTGAAATGACTTCCTGATCCGCCCGCAGTAGGTGCCTTAGCCATATTTTTCATTTCAAACGTGTCCACACACACAAAGAAAGGATCAGATTTCTCTTTCTGCTTGAATGAAAAATAATCTCACTCAGTTTTCTCTGTTTGGAGATTTACACACGCCACTCAAACACAAATATCACTGTAATGCCACAACTGGTGCACTGGAGACATATTTCTATTTAATCTAAAAAAATAATAATTTAATTAAATTTTTAAAAAGCAGGAAAAGTAATTAAACCTTGTTTACAAAAACCAAACCACATAATTTTACAGCTTTCCCAAACTTTATACACTTTATTGTTTGGAAATTCTCAAAAAGTAAAACACTGAGACTTTTAATATCACCGGACATGCTTCAGTGTTTTTAAAAAGCACAGAGATTACAGCTGGATGAACAATGTTTTATCCTTATTTTAATTGATTTCTCAACATTCAGGTCCAGTGAGGGCTTCAAAAGATCAGCCACAGGGTGACGGTGAAAGAAATGGAAGAACTAACCGAAGGGAACAAACGGCTCGACTAAATACTGGTGGTTGGTTAATTGATTGTTAGGGTGAGGGAGAGATGGAGGTAATTAAAGTGATACTTCAGATATTTTTCAAGTGAGGATCTGCGGAAAGATTATGAACAGTTAATAACCTACCTGTTGTAGATAGCAGTTTGAACATTTTTTTTTCCAAAGTAGCCAAAGTATATTATAGTTGTCTTAAAACAACTCATTTATGCATTTTACAGCGGTTTATGCTAACACTTTTTTTTAAAGAAACCTTTCCATTGCACTTCTCAGTTATTCATGTAGAATTCTGTAGTTATTCACAAGCACAAATAGCACTATCAGCAGCTAGCTGTAGCACTTCTGGTGCAGCCTGAGGCACCTCCTGCAGGAAATGTTTTGACCGGAATAACTGTATAATGTGAAATATGGTGTAAATGTAAAAACTGATGAACGAGCTTTTCAAATGTCGAGACTCTTCAAACACTGGCCGTGCAAAACGCAGCGGCACGGCTCACTGATCGCTTTGTTGCAAACACTCAGAAATCAGTGACTCCATCCATCCATCATCTTTACCTGCTTCTTCCTTTCTGGGTCACGGGTGTCCATATCCAGCAGTCTGTGCAAGAGACGAGGGACACCCTGGACAGGTCTCCAGTCCATCACAGGGACACGGAGACAAATGAGACAAACAACTAATCACACAACTGAAAATTTGTCTATTTTCTTGCAATTTTGAGTCACCAAGTAGCTCAACCAACAGTCATGTCCCACTTAGATAATAATCTTTTTTGTCATAATAATAAAAATTAAAAAAAGCATGAACAGGGATTTCCAATTGACACACATCTAATATGCACGTCATGCGTCTTCACTCTGAACCGGAGTCTTAGTGGATCTGCCCGACATCGATGTCTCTTGAGCTGCTAAGTGTGTCTAAAAATGGCAAATATCATTATGGTCTAACTATATTCATTAGCATGGCTTATCGAGGCAGGGGATGGATCCACGCCCGCTTATTATGAGAAAGTTCTTTGTGTAGCTGGAAAGATATGTCTCTGTGTGTGTGGTGGTGGTGGGGGTGGGGGGGGGGGGGGGAATAAAAGGGTGAATCCCTGGGAAGCAGGGCAGGGTCAGTGGAAAAGCACAGCAGACCCCCTCCCGACCCCCTGCTCTCATCCTGCCCACCTATCAGTATTCAGCAGACCGCCGCTGCCTCGTCTTATCAGGATGGGCTGATTCATGGTTTCCATGGACGGTTCGTTGACTCCCGGTGAAAAACACCTTCCTGTTTCTCTCTAAATAGAATTTGGTTTGTTCGGTGTCTTCAGCTGAATTAAGACCCAGTTTCTCATTTTCCTCCCCTCGTGCTGTTTACCTCCCAGACACGCTGTCCTCCCTTAGCTTCGTCTCCTCGGCCTCCGTCAGTCAGATGGACAAGCGTGACGCCCCCCTCCTTTCTCCCCCCTACTCTCCTGCTCCATCAAGGTTTATCCTTCATCTTAAAAATGTTTCTCAACGTCAATGAAACGTTCAGCACCAGCATTCCCATTTCTTGTTAGCGTTTCATTTCGATCACAGCTGGATAATTCTCACTTGTTTATGAGATTTGTTAGGATTTTTTTCATGGAGCTCCAATCTTTGTCAAAGTTTGTCACATCATGTTTAATATATCAAAGTTAAAATGAAAACTAAAGACTTGAGGCAGTTCACTCAATGTTTTCCACATACATTTCATTTCCCATTCATGTTGTGGCCATTTTTTTTTATATATATGTGTGATTATTTTTTTAGACTTGAGTGTCTTTTGTGTTGTTTTCTGTGTTTTGATTTGCCCCACAAGTCATGCGTTTCATCTTTTATTTTCAGTTGATTTTATTGGTGGATTTGATCCATTCCCACTCTACCATGTCAATGAAAAACCATCCCATCTCCTCTTAAAGCCTATGTACCCGTAAGTATCTCATCCTAGTGACGGGTGTTGCATTTTCAAGATTTTTTATTTTTTATGGTGATTCTCAAGTCATATCTTATGTGCGTGCTCATTTCTGTCTTTTTCTCATAATGTCATCTGCTAAAGATGAGGGTGCAGTTAGAAAACAAGGCTGTGTAACAGAGTTGGTGAGACGGTGCGCTCGTATTTTGATATAAAGGCAGGAGCTGAGGATGCAGACTTTTACAAGAGCTTGAGAACATGGTGATTTTAAAAACAATAAAATGTACAAAAACAAAAAGGCTGGTGAGGAAGCAAAGAAGACAAAGTAACAAATCGCACAAACACACGGAGACCGGAACTGAACCACGATGGCAGACTGCAATGAGTGAGGACTGAGAGGGTGAATGGGCTGGAGCTGATGAGGTGAACTGGCTTAATGGCAACAGGGAACAGGTGTAGGCGGGGGAGAACAATACTGAGAAGCAGAAACTAACTGAAGGAAAGTCCTGAGGCAGGAAACACAGGAAATAAAAACTAACGAGATTAAAAAACTAATAATAATCCAGGATTATGACAGTTTGCTTTCTTGGTTTGTGGATAGCTAAGCTGTATTTGAGGAGTAAACTGCAGCACGTGTAGCACCTTTAGGGAATATAAACCTCTTTCATATCATTGTTTCTCTGCGTGTCCAACTCCACAAGCAGCTACCGACAGAAAGATTAAAAAAAAAAAAAGACAAGAAACTGTGTCTAAAATTGGATTAATCAATTAAGATGTGCAGAAATTTAATGACAGTGACCCAGAGTACTCATGTAATAATTCTCAGCCAACAAGAAATGAATATTTTATCAGCTTTCTGACAGTTTAATCAGCTCCGTCTCTAATGGGGGGAGGGGACATTTTCATCTCCCCATCCCACCAAGACTTATCCTGAATAAATTCATCCATGTGTGTGTGCATGTGTGTGTGTGTAACCCAATAACTGCTAAACCTCTCTGCTCTCCCTTTTCATGTTCCCATCTCCTCCAGGTCTACGTAAATAGAAAACCTCCAGTGAGGGGAGATGATGCAGCAGATTCCCACAGAGCCAACATGGCTGTTTTCACACGCCGACCGTCTGGAGTTCCTCCCCGTCTTGATTTCAGAACTTTAAACATGTCATTTTACTGGTGTGCTTCCCAGAAAAGCCTGCATTTCTCCACAAGAGTCCATTGTGACTGGATTTGGGAATGAGGGGGGAGAGTTAGCATAAACAAAGCGTGTATTTAGGAAGATTTGTGTACTTTTTTTTTTTCTGTGATATTTACCATGGGTTAATGCTGTGGACTGTGTAGAATATGTGCAGCTCATGAATACTTTGTAAGAAAGGAGTGTCCACGTCTCCGATGTAGCACATCATCGCAGGTTTGGCTCAGATCTCGGCCGTAGAGGCTGATTTACAGAGAGATCTGTGAAGTGAGCCGTGTACTTGTACGCATAAATACAGAAGCAAAGCAGGAAGAGAGGGAGCGGAGAGGTGGAGAGGGAACAAAAGCACCAACACTACAGAGGAAATCTGACAAAAATAGAAAATGTAAATCATGAAATTCAGAGTTGGAATTGTGACTGCGAAGAGGTGTTCAAGCACAGGTATTGGCGTGCAAGTGTTGGGTTTTATTTCTGCTCTGGAAGTGCTGTGACTGTTTTGTTTGTTGAACAACAAAGTCAGTAATTCTGAAGTGTCTGTGTTAGCCAAAGAGCTTCACTTCAACAGAACACACAGCTCTGGGGAGATGAGTGATCATCACACACTCAAACAAAACTTACTGTTTGTAACTTGACGTAAACCACTGAGATGTTGCACCTTTCGTATCACACACACACACACACACACACACACTATAATACGTGTGCTGAAGAGGAACACCTGAAGCGATCAGAGCGTCGTCTCCTAGTTCAACTTTTAAATCTTGCTTTTTATACACGTTGACTGATTGTAGCGTGTTCTTCTATTTTTAAACACATGCATTGTATTTGTCTATAGCAAATTTAAAGTAGCAAAACTGGAGTTTTTAACTGAAGCGGTCTGAATCTGTTGGTTTATTTTTTTGTTTTACTTTGACCCAACATGATTACAGTGAATCAACACATCCCTCAAACTTGAGTTGTAGCACTTTTTTTAATACACTTGTGGGTCAATATTTGCTCAAATCATCCGTTGCCTTACTGTTAGTGTGAACCATTGCTACCCTCTGGTGTTCAACACATGCGAGTTTCGGCCTGCAGAATTTTCCATAGCTCTTTTATAGTGTTAAATTTTATACGTTTGAAGTTAGAAATTCTTAACGATGTGAAAATTATTTAAATGGAGAAGGTAAGCCAGATAAAGGGCACATGTTTCCACTTTTATCACAATTGTTTCACAGTCTTCAAGATGTTTTCGGAGTTTAAGTCCAAAATGTTAGTTCCAATACAACCCCCGTTTCCAAAAAAAAAAAGCAGGGACGTTGTCTGAAATGTAAACAACAATAGAATGCAATGATGCGTGAATCTCATAAACCACATTTTACCACGGTGGAACAAAGTAAACTTATCAAATGTTCAAATTGTAACATTTTCTTTGGAAAAAAAAAAACAGGTTAATTGTTCTCAGGTCAGTAAGAAGACATCCATCTATCCATTATCTACACCCACTTCTTCCTTTTTGGGTCGCGGGGGTCACTGGTGCCCATATCCAGCAGTCACTGTGTGAGAGGCAGAGAACACATGACTCTCCCACTCACACCTAGGATCAATTTAGAGTTAACAATCAGCCTAACATGCATGTTTTTGGACTGTGGGAGGAAACTGGAGTACCCGGAGAAAACCCACGCATGCACGGAGAGAACATGCAAACTCCACCCAGAAAGGCCCCCAGCTGGGATTTGAAAGCAGCTCTACCAGCTGCACCACCGTGTCGCCTGTTAGAAGACATAAAAAGAGCATGAATCTCTCCAAAGTAAAGCTGGGCGGAGGTTCACCAGTCTGCAATTAAAAAAAATTAGCATTATGAGATTTGTAAACCATTCTTTTTCTGTTCATTCACAATGTACATACGTCCCAACTTTTTCTGTATGGGGGGTTGTATTTTGAATAAATGGACTTCTTCCCCCGTGTGTCTGCACCTACACACGGAGTCACATTCCTCAGAGCATGAATCACTGCCAGACAAACGGCTTGTAAACTGCTCTGACTCCTGCTGGGCGTTCAGAGTGAACCGTTTCACTTTGATCGGTCCAGTCTGTTTCTGAGGTGCAGTAACTTCAACATTTAAACTTTACGAGCTCGTTGTAAGCTAACAGGATAAGAAAGACAAAGCATCGCTGTGACATTATCAGTATTTTAGGTAAAACTCCACTAAAGTGTAAAAGCTAGTCTTCCTCAGTGCAATACTGGTGGTTCCAAACCCTCAGTGTCAGATTAGTTATGGTTGTGGATGTGATAGATAAAACTTCCATATTTCTGTAGATAATTTTCTCATTTAGAAGAAATGTTATCGTTGTTTTCCATACTGTTTTGCTCCAACCACATGCGACCTGTTTGTATTTATCCAGAACTGTGCTTTGTGTTCTTGTAAATAGGTGTTTGTTAATAAAAGAATGTGACCTTTAAACGATTTTGAGAAGCAATTCTTTCAGGTACTTGCGTTTATGGAACCATTAGTATCAAAATGTAATGATGAAGATGCTTGAATGGAACTCAAAATGTTTATTATAGAAAACGATCTGTAAAATAGGACACAACAAGCAGCCAGCACTCAGTTTTCATTGGGAGATACTGAGGGCACGTCGGGGGCAGTCGTGTCTGTATACGAGTGGCTTTTCACCGCAGCGTCAAGACATAAAAGCACGAACGCTGCCTCTGACGACAGCTCTGCAGATGGGACAGTGACGCAGGCTGGCAGCACAATCACCACAAACCACCAGGTGACCGCAGGGGATGAAGACGATGGACACCAGCTTGTCCATGCACACTTTGCAGGTCCTCTCCTCCTGCAGCTGCCTTAGCAGCTCTTCTGGACTAGGATCCTTCACTGCTAACGCACAAAAACACATTCAAGCTGAGTGAGTGCTAGACTAAATAACGATTCGTTCATATTCCATGAAAAATAAAAGCTTTAAAGCATGCTGACCTTTTCCTCGGGCCGGTGTTTGCGTCCTCACATTCCCAGCACTGGACCCCTGGCTCGTCTCTGGTTCTGAAGCTCACGAAACAAAACACTATTAACTGACCGAAACGCTGAACTCTTTCCCTCACAGGAGGGAGAGACATAACACTCTGAAAAAAACTATTTTAAATAACTAAAATTGTCTCGATTTGGTTTTGTTAAGCTTGAACTTGGAATACAGTAGTCCCTCGTTTATTGCAGGGGATCCGTACCCTGAAGGCCCACAATAAGTGAAAAACTACTTCTTCTTCTAGATTTTCCCTCTTCAGGGGTCTCCACAGTGTGTCATCCTCCTCCACCTCACTCTGTCCTCACTCCAACTACCTCCATGTCCTCTCTAACTGCATCCATACATCTCCTCTGGCTTTTTCCTGGCAGCTGCATTTCTAACATCCTTCTACCAGTATACCCACTGTCCCTCCTCTTGACATGTTCAAACCATCTCAGTCTGGTCTCTCTAACTTTATCTCCCAGTTGTTCAACCTGTGCTGTACCTCTGATGATCTCATTCCTAATCTTATCCATCCTTGTCACTCCTAAGGAGAACCTCAACATCTTCAGTTCAGCCACTTACAGTTCTGTCTCCTGTCTTTTTGTCAATGCCGCTGTCTCCAGATCATACAACATAGCTGGTCTCACCACTGTCTTGTGTGTGTATATAATATATATTTATATATACATATATATATATAAATAAAATATAAAAAAAACCTTCAGGTCTTTTATTATTTTAGCCTGAGATCCTTCCTGTATTTTGATCCAAATGTTTCCATTCCTTGTCCAAGTTGATGCTATTTTTTTTCTGTTTTTTTTCAACAACCTTGCTTCACGTGCAATATTTCCATTTTTTTAAGTTAGATGTTCATTTATGTAAACATTTGTTCCCTTCAGTTTTTTCTTTTGCTTGCATTATTACCTTGTTTCTTGATTTCCTGCTAATGAACTTGATGACTATGGATGGTTTGAATTTTTCTTTTTTACTGGGCAGGGTGTGACACACATTGAAATGTCCTCATGTTTGTCGTCAGTGTCTTTGCTTTGTAAAAATGTCACTACTTGCTCCTCCAGAGTCTAGTTCTTCATGTGGTGCGTCTTCTGTAGTGTTAGTACCTGCAGCAACTCTTGCATATGTCCGGCTCCTGACTTCCAGTCCAGTGATCACCAAGTTGTCCTGTCTTGTGTATTGTTCCATGTCGTCTACTTTTTGTTCCAGTTCATCTATTTTTTTGTCTTCATTACTCATCAGTTCTTTCAATTGTTTCACTTCTTCAAACAGACCGGTCAGGGGTTCAAACTTAGTTGCTAATCCAGTCACTTCAGCACTCAATCTAGTCACTTCAGCAATCATAAAGTTTAAAGATGTTTTAACTTCCTCCATATCTTCTGGATTATTTTCCGACTCTTGTTTCTTTAGTTTGCGTTTGCTCGGCATCTCACGATACTTCTGGATTGTTGGTATCAACTCTCAGAAGCACAAGCTCTAGCCACGAGGCTCACAGGCTTATGGTGTTAGCCGAGGCCTAGCGGCAACAACCCCCAGATCCCACGGCGGTCTCTCGGTTCACTCGGCCCCAGCGGCTCGCAGGTCCAAACGGCGACAGACCGGGTCTCAGCTGCAACAACACCCAGATCCGATAGTTGCAGCTCGGCTCCCTTGGTCCAACTGCTCGCGGCGTTAGCAATCTTCTTCTTCTCCTTCTTCTTCTTCTTATTGTGGTGTTTTTTTTTTTTGGCGGTTGGCAAACAACTGAAGGAAGCATTACCGCCACCAACTGGTAAGGAGTGTGAACCACATGACAAAAACGCCCCCCAAAAAAACACTCTCTTTCCTTTTACTGTATATCCTATTATACAACCTGCACCGTTTTAAAAAATAAAATATATCTTGATAGCCTCTGTTTCCTGAATCTTTCTGCAATAAATCAATAATGTCTAATTTCATTTTCGTTTTACTAAGATGTCTAATCAACTTGTTTCTTTGAACCTGGTATCTCCTGCAATGCAATATAATGTGTTCTATGGTTTCCTCTTCTCCACACTCACATGTCCCTGTTTGATGTTTCCCTATTAAACATAATGTGCTGTTCAGTCCAGTGTGCCCAATTCTGAGTCGTGAAATAATCGTTTCTTCTCTCCTGTTTCTTTCTGTTCTTCTCCTTTCTCCAATTTTCCTTTGGATTTTATAAAACCACCGGCCTTTCCTTTCTTCCTCCCATAATTTTTGCCACTTTTCTTTCATTTTTTGTTTTATTATACCCTTTATTTCTGTTATACTAAACCTAACATTAATATCAACCACGTCCCGACCAGTGCTCTCCTTAGCCATCCTGTCTGCCTTTTCATTCCCCATAACCCTGTGATGTGCTGGAACCCATATAAAGTTTACTGTAATCCCCATCATGTTGATCCTATAGAGTGTTTGTTGTATTTCAATTCATATATCTGGTCTACTATCTGACTGGTTGTGTTGCAAACTGGATAATGATGAACTAGAATCTGAGCAGATGATTGATTTTAATGGTCTTACCTCTTCTACCCACTGAACTGCTAAAAGTAAAGCGAGCATTTCTCCTGTATAAACCGATACTCCATCACTAACCCTTTTTCCTACTTTAATATGAAATTGTGGTACTATGAACGCTATCCCAATTTTATTAGTTGTATTTTTAGATGCGTCTGTGTATATATGTACATAATTATAATACTGATTAATGTATTCCTGTACTGTATATTTATCCATAATAAAAGATTTATTCTTGTTTTTCTTTTCTAATAATGAAAAATCTACTATTGCATCAGGAAGTACCCAAGGTGGTGTTGTGGGTAATGGGACTTCCTGACATACATCTAGTTGATCTAAATGGATTTCATTAACTTTGACTTTTATCATCCACCCAAAGCTTTTGATTTTTTCTTTTTCCCAACCTGATTTAAGCATCTCTAATGTTGGATGATCATTTCTTTGTCCTTGTAAATTTGTCCAGTAGTTCAAAGACAACTGTTCCCTTCTAAATTTAAGAGGCATTTCTCCCATTCCAACCTGTAATGCTGCTGTTGAAGACGTTTTAAAAGCACCGGTACATATTCTTAGTGCCTGGTATTGGATATTATTTAACTCATTGAGGTTTGTATCTGCTGCTGAGTTGTAACATATGCACCCATAGTCCAAGACTGACCTAATTAATCCAGTATAAATGGCTGTCAATGAATTTCTATCAGCTCCCCACTCAGTTCCAGCTAAACACCTCATTATATTTAACACTTTCCTACATTTATCTATTATTTTCTTAATGTGTATACCCATGTCATTCTTTCATCAAACCACAACACGAGAAATTTAAATTCTTTAACTCTTTCCAACTCCTGACCATATTGTTTTAGCTTGATTTTCTCATCAACTCTTTTCCTTGTAAAGAACATTATTTTAGTTTTATCTACAGAAAATTTAATTCCCCATTTATACAAGCATTTTTCTACAACTGAAATTGCTCCCTGAAGCTTCTTTATAATAAATTCTAGATTTCTTCCTCTTTTCCACATTGCCCCATCATCAGCAAAAAGTGAAAATCCCATTCCACTCTCTACTTCCTTAAACATGTCATTAACTATCACTGAAAATAATAATGGACTGACTATACTACCCTGTGGTGTCCCATTTTCTATATTACAACTCTCAGAATAATCCTTCCCTATTCTC